GGGGGGGGGGGCCGGGACCGTAACTCGGACAGACCGGCTGGGCCAGGCTAAGACGGCCGCTGTCTGATGCTGAAGGGCTGGCTTTACAACCTGAAGTAAGGGAGCTGCGGCCAAGACAAAGTGCTGACACAAACCAGTGAATATTGTGCCTTGCGAATCCCTACCGGCCACTGGACCCGTGTCTGTGCTCTTACGTAAACATTTTCAAAGAAATTGCTCTGTGCCATGCACCATGCCAAACCCTTAACACACAACATCTGGTTAAGTTCGTAAATCTGAAAGAAGTTTCCGCGTTTTAAAGGTGAGGTAACTGAGGCCCAGAGAAGTTATGTAACCGGCCCATTGCCCAAGGTCACACAGCTCAGACTTGGAAGAGCCATGACCCGCCCCAGGCAGGGTGGGCCAGAGCCTGTACACCTCCCAGCTCCACCCAGGGAGCATCTTCTCTGCCCTGTCCTGCTTCTCTCCACATACATTTCTTTCTGTTCTCCCCTGCTTCGTCCACATGTGCTAATTTTGGGGGTGTTTTTTCCGTCAGCTGGGCCTGAAAGGACTCCTTGGCTTTGATGTTATCTTCTCTAATCTGCTGCTTGAGTGCCAGCTGAGGAAAATTAAACTTGGCCCCTGCCTCAGCACCTCTAACTCTAGGAGGAGCATATGAAGGTTCCCACCAGGGGCTGTGAGAGGAGTTGAGAGGAACCGTGACCCCACCCTGGGGGATGTGGCCGTTCATCACAAAAGCAGGCCGCTGAGGGCCAGGTCTCCTCTCTTGCTCCTGCACCGCACGGGTGGAGGGCAAGGGCCAAGTCCTCCCGGCCTTCCTCCTGCAGGGAAGGCTGACTGAGCAGCACCCGTGCAGCAGGTTTGGGGAGGGAGGGGGCCTGCGGCCAGCTTGCTGGTGGCAAATCTGAAATTCATTGCCAGCACCGTTTGGCTCCTGCTGGCTGTGGTTAGGAACCCAGAGGGAAGAAGAGGCTCTTCTTGAAGCTTCCTTCAGCCTCCAACAAGCTGTCATAGGGTGGATATGACCACAGGGATCCTCTAAGTTGCCCACTTCTGGGGAAATGGGGGTGGAAGTGGCTAAGGGATTCAGTGGGATCTAGGTCACAACACTCCTAGAAGCTCTACAACACAGAGGCTTATTACTGTTATTCTGAAGAAAGTTTCATTTCATAGAAATCAGACATTTGCAGCTGTCCCTCACCCCACTGACCAAGAGAGTATGATGCACAGTTAAAAACGGAGTCGAAAAGGTGGCTAGAAGGCGACCCAGGGCCNTAAAAACGGAGTCGAAAAGGTGGCAAGAAGGCGACCCAGGGCTACCCACACAGACGCTGCGGGCTCCCAGCTCCCGCCCGAGCCTGGCGAGCGCGGGTGCCCTTCCGCTGCCAAGCTGGTCACACCAGACATTCCCGTGATGTCTTCCATTAGGCTTAGCTATGTTTTGATATTGAGAACTGTGTAGGATTTATCGCAAAGCCACTTTGAGATGAAGGAGGAAGAATTTCCACATGGAAAATTCCAGAGAATATCCAAGCATCAAATAGTTTAAAATTCTAGTGTTTGCAAATGGTACTCACTTGGGATTGGAAGCGGCCAAGTCAGTGTGTGCAGCATCCATAAATAGAATACAAATCAGTTACAATGGAAACAAGATTAAATTTAAAAGGAGGGTGCCCCAAACAAGCTCTTATGATGAAGAGTGGCGATGAGTGACAGCGTGCCATAGTCACACTGGGTTTTGCAGTAAAAACTGGGAATACGGAACAGTTAGTAAGCAAGTGGCCCCCCTGGGAGAGGAACCCTCCTCAGCTAGTTCCCCCACCCCCAGTCTCCTAAATGTCTAGAACTTTCCTTTACATAGTCTAATCAAAACCAGCTTGTCCTGGTTCCAGTTCCTTTATGCTCTGTGAAGAAGCCGTAAGCCCAACCTTACTAGGGTTAGTGATTTATAATGGCTCAGTATTACTAATTAATACTTCAATAGCGAAATAGTTCTCAAACATGCATCAGAATCACCCCAAAAGCTCCTTAATAGGCAGCTGGCCCTACCTCAGACTTTCTGATTCAGCAGGTATGGCATAGGGCCCAAGAATTTGCATTTCTATCAAGTTCCTGGATGGGGAGGGCTGGTGTGGGGGGTGCACTTTGAGAACCATGACAATAGCATGGCCCAAAAAGATGAGGCCACAGATATCAGGCACCTCGGCAAGGCCAGAGGGGCCACTGTCGGAAGGCAGGTGGATTTCATTTAGCCCCTCAAATCCTATCTGACATGCTCCTACATGCCCTCTTTCTAGGGCACCCTGACATTTGGTTTCTTCTGTGGACACATGGTGCTCAGATTGGCTGAAGCTCCACATATGACCCCAGAATTTTGACTGTTTCTCAAAGAGAGAAAGGGCATGTGCTTTCAAAAGCTTTGTTTATGGGGATATTTCTGTTCAGTGCAATGAACCCACAATCTAGAGGGTACAAGCAGCAAAAGGGAGGGCTCTGATGGGGCCCAGGTGCAGAGGCGGGATTCACTGTAGGGCAGGACAGAAAGAGCCTGCAGGTAGGATCTCCTGGCTTCCCCGGGCAAGCAACACGTCCCAGCTCAGGACAAAGAAGAGCTTTATCTATCATTGGATTTTAATGGAATAACTTAAAATTAATGACAGAAAAAAAAATGAAAGAAAAAATTAAGTCTAGACTTTGTTACAAAATCAGTGCAGTGATGTAAGGAGAGAAGATAAAACCAGAACTATATTCCCTGAGGTCAGGACATCTTTGTTTCCATAAGGCCTGAAGAGGGAGCATAATTGTGCAGTAAATATTTTTAATTGACTTATGATGAATTATTTTTTTTATTGATAACCCAATTTGAAAACCTCACAAGATTTCTGTGAGACTGGCAGGGCCAGCATCAATGTCCCTCTTTTACAGCTGGGGAAACTAAGGTTCGGGGTGACCTTGGGTGGTCTATGGACCTCAGTTTGCTCTCTGTGGTTACAGCCTGATGGTGTTCAGAGATATATGGGTGGATCTCCGACCCCTGCTCTGTAGCATTCTGGGCTCTCTGGCCACATCCCACTGAAGGCTCTTTGGGACATGATCATGATCGTGAAGGAAGCCAGGGGTTCAGTCTATGGGAAGCCCTACCTTCACAGATGACTCCATACCTGCTGAATCAGAAAGTCTGGGGTAAAGCCAGCTGCCTATTAAGGAGCCTTTGGGGTGATTCTGATGCATGTTTGAGAACTATTTCGCTATTGAAGTATTAATTAGTTTTTGGGTCAGAGAGGAACCGCAGGAGTGGCATTGAGTATCACCAGGTCGGCCAGTCATTTGATTCAGCTTCCTGTCTAGCGCAGGGATTCTTTTTATAACACTTTTGGCAGCTGGACATCTAGGTAGTGTCCAAGTAGCTTGAGACAACCCAAGGGGGCGAAACTCAGGGTGGGTGCTCCCACCACTCTAAGTTCTTCCCTGAATTCAGCCAGCACCTGGCTCTCTGGAGCTTCTGCTCCTTGGTTTTCTTTCTGCATCCTGTGGTTACACGGGGCGAATCTGGCCCCCTGTGACATGACCGTCCTTCCCTCACAACTCTCCAACATACCGAATAACCCCGGCTTCTCTAGCTATTCTTTAAATGACAAGGTTGCCAGACGCTCTTCCACCCTGACTGCCCCTCCACCCTGGAAGTAACCCTATCTGTAGGGATTTCATCCCTCTGGTGTGGTCTCACCTCACACACTAGGGAGAGCTCATGGTATCATGTTCCCATGAAGCTGGGGAGAATTCCTGACAGGTGTGGCCTCCCCATTACCTCACACTGAGGCAAAGCAGGCTTTTGTCCTTTCCCGGGGTGTTCTTGCTCACTCCTGATTACACCCCTGGGCTCTGGTATCGTGACCCTCATTAGAGTTACTGTCCCCTTGGTTTTCTTCCAAACACTAGGTTCAAGACTCCCCATTTGCTCCCTTGGGATAGTAGGTGCCCTCAAAGCAAGCTCAACCTCCTGCACTTGAATAGAGAGACACATGATGGGGGGAAGTAGGCGGGTGAGTGGGGACCCAGGACACCACTGGGGTTACTGGTCACCTGTGTCCGGAGCAACACACTCGCATTTGTAGGTGGTGATGGAGTCAGGCTTGAAGTCCATGTTGATGGGGTAGTACTTGAAGGCACCAATCATCTTCTTGATGGCATCGTAGATGAAGATGAAGCTGATGAGTGTGGAGAAGCCCTCCTCAGTGAAGCGGGTGATATACTTGATAATAAAGCTGGCATCTGTGGCCACCAAGATAAGGCACTGGATGGCTGAGTGCAGGCCAATCCAGAGGCGGAACTCCATGTAGTCCAGGCCATTGCCTCTGGAAAACAGAGGAAAGTGGGGGGCCTCCAGCCCAGGGCTCTGGGCTGTGCTTGGCTCCCCAGACCCTGAATGGTTCATGTGCCTCTCCTGTGGCACAGGTGCCCTCCTAGGAACTGCAAGAGGACTGGAGACAAGGAAAATCCTGGGTGGGATTGTCTGGTCTTTGAGAATTCTGAGGAAGGATCTCATGGGGGTGGCAGGAAGGTGCTAAGACATCTCAGTTCTCACAACTTGGTAACAAATACCCAGAGTGAAAAATAAAAAACCACCAAGGAATTTTGGACTAACAGCTGGGGCAGGCCTTAGAAATGGCCTCATGTTGCAGATGAGGTAGCTGAGCCTGGAGTGGTGACAGGAGCTGCTGGGTCAGAATGTAGCCTTCTGACTTCCAGCTCAAGACTTTTCATGCACTGCACTGACTTCCAAGTCATTGTTGCTCACAGGAAGAGCGGTGTGAATTCTCTCATCTTTCCTGGAGGTCTCCCTATTAGCTATGCTGATATGCACTAAGATGGCCTAAAGACAGGTAGCTAGAGGGGGTCAGAGGGACCACCTGGCAGTCCTCTGCATAGGTAAAAACAGCTTTGGACCTCCTCGCCCTTGCCTCCCCTTTGGGGTTATCCACCCCCGCCCCCCCAGCCTCAGCAGACTGCCCCAAGTATGAGAACAGGCACTGGGGGCAACCAAGAAACACCTACTTGCTAAAGTCAAAGAGGAGCTTCTCGAAGATGAGGATGGGCCCTGTGCTGCTCAGGATGATGAGAGGTTGTCCCGAGAAAAGGCAGAACAAGGAGCCGGCCATGGCAGTGCCCAGGAAGCTCTCCATCACTCCCTGGGGGCACAAGGAATGTGAGGCTCCGTGGAGTCAGGATAAGGGGTCTCTTGGCACAAAATGGAACACACCTGTCTCACCAGGGGCCCAGACCACAGTGCTTGTCCTTTATCCCAGGCCCTCTACTTCCCAAATTCTGCTCCCCATCTCCTACTCCACAACCCCCCACAATCACCAACATCATTCTCTCTAATTCCATTTGGGTAAAGGTCCTGTGTGACTTCCTTATGGTACCCTAAGGCCTAGAAAACAGGACTGCCAATGGTTCTACTTGTCCCCATGCCCATCCTACTCCCAGAGGACAACCCATTTATCTACCCAATCATTTAGTCATTCAAGCAGCTATTAGGAGCTTTGGAGGTCAGACCATTCGTTCATTCAAAATTCATTAAGTGCCTACTATATATCAGGCAATGGGCTAGATATTGGGGACCCATCAGTAAACAAGATAATATATTTTCAATCTAGTAGGAGATACAGACGAATAAACAGGCAATTTCCATATAGTAGAGTTTCTCAACCTCAGCACTACTGACATTTCAAGCTAGATAGTTCTTTGTTCTGGGGGGGCTGTGGTGTGCATAGCAGCATGTTTTGCAGCATCCCTTGCCTCTACCCACAAGATGCCAGGAGCACCCCCTCCCAGTTATGACAACCCAAATTATCTCTAAATATTGCCCAATGTCTCCTGGGGGTGTGTGTCAAAATAATCCCTTGTTGAGAACCACTGCTAAGGAGTGTGATAAGTTGGGATACGGTCAGGGTGCCATAGGAGCACACAGTAGGGATAAAGGGGAGGTCAGGAAGGCCTTTCCAGAGGTAGATATGTGGAAGTTGATATCCAAAAATTGAGCAGGGAATTGACCAGGAGAAGAGGGTAAGTGGAGTGATGAGAGTGTCCCAGGAAGAGGGAACAGTGTTTACAAAGGCTGGACATGAAGGCAGCATGCCTTGAAGAACTGAAAGATGATGAGGATTAATGGAAAACAATGCAGACTGAGCGAGGAGCACAGGAATCTGAGAAAGGGAACGCTGGTGTGAGAGGCAAGTAGGACCATGCTATGAGGGCCCCTCGGGGAAGCTGGATTTATGAGTCGATACGTGGACAGCTGGGCGAACCATGGTGTCACTCGCTGTGCTGGTGGAACAGCAGGTCTGGAGGGAGGATAATGGATGCAGTGGATGCTCTGTGAGTTGGAGGATCCCAAGGGGCAGCTGTATGGACATGCCCAGAGGCAGCTGGTTACTGGACCTGCAGCTCAGGAGAGCGGCGTGGGCTGGAGATAGGTGTTCATCTCAGTTGTATCTGGGAAAATGGGTCTTCACCTGAATGTTCTGAGCTTTCTAATGGTTCTCTCTTGAGGGCCCCTTCAGAGAAGACCCTGTTCAGAGCTCAAGCTAGTGTCTGCTGGGCGGATTTTCCCCAGGGAGGCCTGTGTTGTTGTCATGGTAATAGTTTACCAGCTTTCTAAATGTCTTAACTCCAAGCTAAGAATTTAAGGTTTTTGTTTTTTAAATGTGAGAAGGCCAAAATTAGCAACTCATTAATTATGCTGATTAAGTTCATTCAAGCATCGGTGTGAAGAGTATCAGATAGAGCAGATGATTCCCCTTAAAAGTTTGATCTATTTACATAGTCCTTAAATTTGGTCTTTAGTAACATGATTTAGCCTTAGGTCTTTTAATAATGTTGGCCTGTTACTAGTTTTTGAAGGGTAAAGTATTATTTAAAGCGATGGTCTGAACCTGGATGACAGAGGAAACCCAAGACTGGATTTGGGGATTAAGGGACGAAGCTCCTTACTGCCACCCAGTGGCAGCAGATTTTACCGCGGTTTGCACTCACGTCCCCAGGCGTGCACACACCTGATAATTGTCAGTAGCATCCCCCAGAAGCCCGCCGAAGGTGATCGCGTTGGTGACGCAGCCGAGGTAGATGAATAGGACGGCCGAGATGGACTGAATGTGGAAGCCGTCGGAGAAGTCACTTAGGAACCAGGGCAGCTTCCTCTTGACATCCAGGCACAGGCCACCGAAGAACCTGCTTAAGACAGGCCCAAGTGCTGCTTTCTCACCACAGACACTAGTGCAGGGGCAGGGCTATTAACAAGAGTCTGCAGTCTGGGGTGAGGAAGGGAACTTGGCTAGGAGCGGATGGGGGCAAAGATCTTTCCACCAGAACGTTTAAGACCAGGGAAGAATTCTCTCAAGACTGAAAGTTTGTGGTTGGTGCCATCTCCACTGTGAGGGGTGGTCACAGACAGCCTGGGTGGGAGAGGGAGAGGGAATGTGCCCTGGGGTAGACCTAACATTCCATGGGGAGTGGAAATCTTGGGGTCCACAGACAGCAGTTCTCCTCAGGTTCCTGATCATCTGAAGGGCACCTGTGCTTGGTAAACACAGATGTGTCCAAATTTAGGAGACAGAGACATCCAAATTATAACACTGATTCATTGTGTCTTCCCAAAAGGTATCTTGGAACCTTAACCTCTGGTACTTGGGAATGTGACCTTATTTGGAAATAGGGTCTTTGTAGATGTAGTGAAGTTAAGATAAGGTCGTTAGGGTGGGCCAGAATTCAATATGACTGGTGTCCTCATAAGAAGGGGGAAATGCCATGTCAAGATGGAAACACAGGGAGACCACCACGTGAGATGGGAGTGGTGCAGCTGCAAGCCAGGGAACACCAGGGTTGACGGCACCACCAGAAGCTAGGAAGACGCGAGGAAGAGTCTCCCCAGTCTCAGAGAGAGCACAGGCCTGCTGACATTCTGATTTGGAACTTCTAGCTTCCAGAACTGTGAGAGAATAAATTGCTGTTGTTTAAGCCACCTAGTATGTGCTACTTGTTTATGGCAGCCTTAGAAAACTAATAGAGATAAAAAGGGTGTCTAGAGAAAAGTTTGGGTTCCTTCACGCCTGTGCTGGGTCCCACTTGCCCTCTCCTACGGGAACCCTTTTGCTGGAGGCAGGAGGGGCTTTGAGGGTAAGAGGAAGGAAAGAGCACAATGGCCAGACCTCATGGCGCAGAGTGGGCGCTGCAGGAATGGGGGGGGGAAGGTTCCTAC